ATGAGGTTTGTTTACATAGATAATTTTACAGATAGTATTTCATTAGTCTGTGTAGGGTATAGATTTCATGTAGACTTAAGATAATAAATATACCTGTTATTTTTTCTACATCGTTGTGACATTTTGGCGATCTCGCAATCACTAGTTTGTTGGCTCTGCGCTGCCGTAGCGCAAAGATGTCTGCCTCCATGGCTGCGAGACCCGCTCCTATGTAATTATAAATAACGAATTCTAAGGCAACGCAAATATTAAGGTTAAGAGGCTGAGCTCGTAGATGATGATAAATAACATAGTTATGTATAATATATTACATTTCTGACTGTATATCCCTGTAATTATTACACACTGTAGCTTTAATCGGTCTTTATGCCAACTCCATTAACAGAACCTGTTCCTCTTCGACAGAGATGGGAAGTAACGAAGTACAAATACTTCGTTACTGTACTCAAGTAGATTTTTCTGATATTTTTACTCTACTTTACTACTTATTTTTTTGGCGACTTTTTACTTCTACTCCTTACATTTTTACACAAATATCTGTACTTTCTACTCCTTACATTTTAAAAAATTGGCTCGTTACTTTAGTTTTGAATCATTTCAATGGAGTTACCGTTATTATTTTTCACGTCATCAATACCAAATTCAATCTAATTGGATGGGAATCTATGTTGCATTTGACGCACCACTACAAGATGAATCGACAGATTCGGCGGTATTCATTGGCGGTAAATCATTGCAGCTTGGTGGCGGTGGCGTTAGCATAGTAGTATGGACGACGAGATGATTGAAAATGAACACAACGGAAATCTAGTCCTATTGGCAGACATCCATTTAAAATGTAGGCAACGGCAGGAAAAAAGTGGTTTCTACTTTTGCTTTTATACTTTAAGTAAATTTACAAGCCTGTACTTTGTTACTTTTACTTGAGTAAAGAAGTTTAATCAGTACTTCCACTTTTACTAGAGTATTTTCTAACACAAGTATCTGTACTTTTACTCAAGTACGGAGAGTGAGTACTTTTGCCATCTCTGCTCTTCGATGTCTAGCAACTCTAGATCCATCTCCGTGACCCTGATATCTTGCAGACGCGCCATTGTTGTTTTGGAAGAGAAACACTCCTGCAGGTGCCGCCGAAGTTCTCGGGACCATCCGCCAAAGTTCTCGCGAGTTCTCGAATAGGCTCCCCATTGCACATTGGCGGTAAACTGCTGCATGTCCCTAGAAATTCCAGACCGACGAAGCATAGCAGCAAATTTGGTTTGTGACCAGACCCAAGCGACATTTGATGTGTGTGGTTGCAGAAGTCTAATCTGCCCTTTAGAAGAACGCCAAGCAAAGAAGAAGCTAACATCAGATAAGAACACAGTAAACCCCCTGATCAGTCCAGACCTATAAATGTATAGATTGTCGATTGGTTGCAGGAGATTTAGGGGGGGAGGGATGGAGCTAAAGGCAAGTTTTCATCTTGTCCTGAGCTCCACCCCCCCCCCCCATTAACTTCGCCCAGCTTTCTAATCCTTGTGGGAGAAAGGTTAGCCCATAGCATGATACAGCCACCTTCATGTTTCAGCAGAGAATTTGGTTAGTTTATTGGTCTTCACGATGTTCACTAATCTTCTCTAGCAAACCTCTAAGAATCTCACAGAGCCTGCTGTGTTTTAGTTTCAGATACGTGGACTTTTACGACTTACATTACTTATTTATTTCAGTGTCTGTGGACTTCATATGGTCTACACATGCATCCATATGGTCGTTAATATGAATTTTACTAGTGAAACATGAGTCACTTTCTTAAGCAAAGCTTCTTTTTTTTCTTCAAAAAAATAACTTTTCTTCTGTTTCCTCTTTGTCACCAACTGTGACTTTCTAATTATATGTGCTTATTTCCCCCAGATACGCAGCTAATTTAAGCCTTGTGACTTTTATCGCCTGTGCTGTTGCTACGAAACCCGCGGGGACGTCTCTGCAACTGTAACGCGGAAGTGAAGATATTGATTTCGAGATGCGAGCTGAGGCGTTGGCTACATTCTGATTCGAAAAAACAAAACAAACACACACCAAGCGAAATAAGAGGGATTTATGTGTTTGAGAGCAAACATGGAAACCTCAGCGGCCTTCTGTCGGTGTTTGAGTCCATCTTTATTACTGAGATCACCTGCGGGGGAAGCTTTTCTCCTCTGGGCTGTTTTCCAACGCGAACTGAAGCGCTGCTCTTTACCCAGCAGACCTTCTGGGAGGAACGCGAGACGACTTCATCGGACCGCTGCCTCATTATGGCTTCCTCTGACAAACACTGCCGCCTCCCCGCTTTCCTCCAATATACACCTTCCCTTCTGCCAAACACACACTTTTTCTCACAACTTTCCTGCCGCACTTACTTTCCCTCTGCCACACACGCACACACACCTTTTGGGTGTAATAAAACAGCAGATCAGAGTCATTGGCTGCTGACAGGGACTGACACTGAAACCTGCTGTTGTTGGAAGGCTGCCTGGGAGATGTTCATTGCTCACAAAGCTTGGCGGTTTGGACAGGAGAGGAACAACGGCCTTATTAAGTGGAGACCTGGAGCAGCCGTAGGGGAAATACATGAACACACACCCACGCGTGCACCCATGCTCTCCTCGGAGAGAGTTTTGACGCCGCGGCTTCAGCCGAGTGCTCCGATTGGGTGCGTGAAGTTTTTTGGGGTTGTCAGGGGAAATGTTAAAAGTTTTTTTTCGAGCGGTAGCAGGATTCGCTGAGTTAGGACTCTGACACTGACAGACACGCTGTGACAGCGGTGCTGCGGAGGAATGTGATGGCCTCGTTTTCACAGGAGCCCGCTAATATTGATTGGAGTTTCTCATGTCTGGCTCATTGTGTAACCCTCACACACACATATACACAGAGTGAACAGATTCAATATTCCCGACATGGCTGAACCTGAAGCCTTGTTTCCATAGTAACTCCGCTCTCCCGCTCTCTAAACATAGCCTCCCAACACTCTACCTCTGCTCAGATCATCAAGCATAGCTGAAGAGGATGTAGATGCGTGGACATGGATAATGTTCCTGACTTGAGGCGGTGAAATGATCTCCCAGCTGAGTGTATTTACAGTCCACACTGTGGCTTAAGCAGCAGATGAATAAAGGAAGAGAGAAAATAAAAAATAAAAGAATAGAGCTATTTATTTCACGAGCGAGCAATCATCCATCCATCATAAGAAGAATTACAGGAGGCCACATGTTGAGGGGGACTAAAGGGGACACCTGGTTGTGTTTCTGCTGCAGTTCCATCTCAAAGCCCCCAATTCATCTCAGCTGTTTTGCTTTTTCTTACCTTTATTGGCTTTTTTTTTATTTTACCAACTTTGCAAAAATCTTATAATAGAATCATCTCTTAAACCAACGCGTTCCACTTCAGCCTGGGGCAAAAAAGAAAACAAAAAACAAAAAAGGGGGGCTGCCATAAATCAAACCCAGTGCGCTCATGACGTTTCGGGGACGAGGGGGGGGGGGTTGGTTTGGCTGAATTAGCATTTGTTGCAAGTCGTTGCCTTTTTTTTTTTTTTACGTTTTAGATAAATCTCTTTCAGCGCATGTTCTGATGTAATGAGGACTATGCAGCACGGAGGTGATGTCATCAGGAGATGATGCATCCAGATATGTCAGTAGTATAAAAGTAGGTTCACTTTGGTCACCTTACAGCAACAAACTTCTGAGTTTTTTTTTACTGGGATTTTGTCTGAAAGACCAACATAAATAAGCACATAATTATGCTGTGTAAGGAGAATAAGAAGTTATTTAAAGGTGAATGACTATGACCTGGATGACTGAGAACCTTCATCAGCTTATTTAAAGGTGTTTTTTTTTTTTTTTACAGAAGCCTGTAAAGTGTGGCCTGGATTTGTTGTGGAGTAGAAGCTAACTACAGAAGAGGATTAGGGCCACTGGAAAAAAAAAAAAAAGTTAACTGATTTTTAAATTTTATTTCAGTTTAACATGGGAAAAAAAGTCAGAATTCTGACTTTTTTCTCAATTCTGACTTTTTTCTCAGAATTCTGACTTTTTTCTCAGAATTTTGGATCTTAATGTAGATGTGCACCATAAAGGAAGAGATGTGGGAGTACTCAGCTTCACTGACAAAGATGTGAGTTGTTTGAGGTGGCCAGATACACATTGGTGGAAAATGATGGAATTAGGCAACTTTTTACGTGCCCGAGGGGTCCCCTCATTAATGGAGAAGCAGAAGGTCATTAAAATAAGAGAGCTAGTCTCTAAAACAGACATGGCTACAGCTTGATGCTAACATGTTTGTTAGCTGTCAGAATTCTGAGAAAAAAGTCAGAATTCTGACCTTTTTTCTCAGAATTCTGAGTTTAAAGTCAGAATTCTGAGAAAAAAAAGTCAGAATTCTGAGAAAAAAGGTCAGAATTCTGACTTTTTTCTCAGAATTCTGAGTTTAAAGTCAGAATTCTGAGAAAAAAGGTCAGAATTCTGAGTTTAAAGTCAGAATTCTGAGTTTAAAGTCACACTTCTGAGTTTAAAGTCAGAATTCTGAGAAAAAAAAGTCAGAATTCTGAGAAAAAAGGTCAGAATTCTGAGTTTAAAGTCAGAATTCTGAGTTTAAAGTCACACTTCTGAGTTAAAGTCAGAATTCTGAGAAAAAAAGTCACAATTCTGACTTTTTTTCCCCCATATAAAACTGAAATAAAATTTAAAAATCTGTTAACTTTTTATTTTTTTTTCAGTGGCTCTAATCCTCTTCCGTACAGGACAGCATTGCTGGATGGAAGCGTGTTTAGTTGCTTAAAAATGACCAACTAAGATCACCATGAGCACAGCTTGATGTGACACACGGTGGTGGCGAGTTATGATGTGGGCTTGAGAAGCAGATAAGAGTTAATAGAAAGATGAACGGAAGAAGAAAATCTTCTAAAAGATAAACTGCTGTCAAAGCTGATTAAAAGCAAATGCATGCCACACTTTCCAGAAACTAATTTACAAATCTCCTTCCACTTCACAGTTACCAAACACTTTTTATTGATCTATCATATAAAAACCAGAAAAAAATTTCAGCGGATAGTTGTTTCCATGTCTGTATAACCTAATCCAGTTGCTTCGGTTTGAGGAATTTAGCTTAACTGAGTGTTTTTATTTCCTGATGAAGAACCTGCTGATGTCTGACGCAACCTTGGAGGCTGTTGCACTCTTCCTCATCTGGCTGCGGTCTTTGGCTTGCTGAGCCGTCCGCTGCAGAAAGAGACAGAGAGAGAAAAAGAGGGCATGATGTAAGAGTTTAAACCTGTAGTCGGGGGGGGGGGGATCAATATTCTGGGCATCCTTAGATTTAAGTGTTTGAGGGTCTGGCATGAACAGCAAGAAGATCCCCTTATCAGCAGACCCAGCGCTAAACATCAGTTTATGGTCGTCTACATGCGAGGCTTTTCCTTCCAATCTGACACCCACTCTGACTAAAACGCTTTCTGGCATTAAAGCAGAGCACATTTCAGGCTACAATGTAAGTGGCGTGTTATTTTTTTTTTCCTTATTTTCAAACCTCTGCAGTCGAGTCGCTTTTCTTTGAGAAGTACATTTTCTGCAATTATGGAAAATTGAGTGAAGAGAAAATGTGAGACAGCCTGCTTCAACAAGTGCTATCCATCAATATGTCACACAGCCACATCATGTGATGCTATTATAGGGAATATATGGCTTTGAGGGGGATAATGTGACTTTTGATCAATGTGTTTGACCATGTATCACATTACTGACACCGTATGTGATTCTCAACATGAGCGATGAGGTGTTCCTCCGACACAGAGATAAAGGAGAGCTTCATCCTCTGTGGACCTTAAATGTCAAACAAATTGCTTTTGCGCCTTAAGCCCCTCTGGCTTTAAAAGCTACTCTTATGGCAGTTGCAGGTGCACTGATGCGGGGTGTGCACATACGGTTTTGTGGCAGGCAGTGCAGAGCGTCTGCAGGTTGTCCAAAGAGCACTGTCCTCCTCCTCTGTAGACTGGCCGGATGTGGTCCACCTGCCAGAAATCTCCCTCCACCGGAGCTCGGATCATCTCGTTCAGCTGACAACAGCCAGAAGGCAACAGAGTCAATCTCAGGGTAACGACAATCCATCATATTCTGCTTGCAATGCTTTTTAGTGGCAAAGACAAGCTGGGATACCTACCTCTACCTTGCATCTACAAACTTTGAACAGTTTCATTTGGATTTTATATGAAAGACCAATGCTGTAAAATCTAACAGTAAAGTAAAGGTACATTTAAATGCAAACATTTCAGAAGCAAGACAGCTCAAAGAGTGCTACAATCATAGAAAAATAAGACATAAAAAACAGAAACAAGATTTACTAACGATTAATCGATTACTAAATCAGTTGACAATTATTTCAATTATTTTTATTTAGTAGATAATTCTATATAAAAGTTGACCAAAAAAATAAATAAATCACATATGGAGTTCCTCAAGGGTCCATGTTGGAGCCTCTCCTATTTAATATCTTCATGCTCCTCTGAGCTTAGACCATTTACTGCCTCCTTAGAAGGTGGGCTTGGGCAGGGAGACACAGAGACTGCAGGGTCCTGCAAAAGTATTCCTACCCAGTGAGATTTTGCATATTTTGCCAAGTTACACCCACATACCTCAATGAATTCAAACGGAATTTGTGTAAAATCCAACATTGCCGTGGCACAATAAGGTAAAGAATGTTGGACAACAGCCTGAAATTAATTATGTTTCACCTAAAAGTTTAAACAGCAAATTCAAATGCAACACTAAATTTGTTTGTTTGATTTAGAGCTGTGTGGTTTCTGTGTAGTTTCATTTATTTTAATCTAAGCTCAGAGGAGCATGAAGATATTAACCCTGTAATGCCAAATGTATCATATTTGATACATACAGTTTCTGAAATGTTTTGCGTCTGACACTTTTTGCCTAATTTAATGGAAAAACTTTGCTCAAAATCCTATTGTGCACAATCAGATATACCTGATAATAGCCAGTAGAAGACTACACAAAAAATAATCTTGACTTATCGCATAGTAATAAATTATATCAAAAATGTATTTCTGTTTTTTCTTTTTACATATTTTGTTAAAAGGCCAAATAAGGAATTCAAACCAAAAAAAAGTAAATTTCTTTTGTTTTATTCTTGGATCAGGCTTTAAAGGGTTAAATAGGAGAGGCTCCAACATGGACCCTTGAGGAACTCCACATGTGATTTTTTTTTTTTTAGTCAACTTTTATATAGATTTATCTCCTAAATAAAAATAATTGAAATAATTGTCAACTGATTTAGTAATCGATTAATCGTTAACTGGAGTATAGAGACTCTAAAATGTGTCTTTAGAGGACAGATCAACCCACTTAAAGCAGTAATTATACCAAAATAGTAATTTTTGCATTAAAGATAAAAAGATTTTCAACTGTCAATCTATCCAGAACTCCAAGAGTGGAAAAATATTTATTTTTACTTGGTTTAGTTTTGCAGAACCCTTTTGCTATCCGATTATTAATCTAAAAAATAATCGAAAGATTAATCGATTTGCAAAAATAATCATTAGTTTTAGCCCTAATTTAGAGAATGAGCCCGATCTATAGTGGAGGATTTATAACATTTGATTAGGTTAAATATCTTTAAGAGCTAAAAAAGTTTTCCCCTTCATTGGCACATGGCTTTCATATAATAAATATAATATAATAAATTCCGCCAATTTGAAGCCTTAAAGATCCATGTTTGTTTTCAGGTCTGCTTTAATGTTCCTTTTCTAACCTCATACTAATCTCAAATGACCTTTAGGGATATACATGTGTAAATTCATACATATACTCGCTTGTAGAGAGGAGTTTATGATAGCCTCTTCATGATCCTTTTTCCTTTTATTTACAATAACTGTACTTTGTGTTTTAATATCAACAATCATTAAAGTTTTGGATTGTAAAATGGAACAATAATAAGAAATAAATCAATTTCCTTGCATATTTTAGCAATATACTGTACAAGAATGCACAAAAGCCAATTAGATTAAACAAATCCTGCCCCGCGGGAACACCTTTTGGGGTACATTTCTCCAAGCTATAAGAAAAGCACAAAACTGTCCCATTTAAGGACATAATGAGAGTAAATAGCACAGAAGCTGACAAGTATTAGCGCTTAAATAGTTTACGTAAATGTTGCGCTGCGATTGCTAGGATAAGAGAAGTTTCTTACAACAGTCTCTCCTCTGAATCAATGAGAGTAACTTTGAACCCTGCGTTATCCATCATCATCTGAAGCCTCAGCCACAGCCATATAAATCACCTGAGTGACCTATAAAACGGGCAGCTGTAGGGAACCTTCAGCACTGAGATCTTGCAAGTCTGTCTGATGAAGTAGGCAGAAAATTAGGTTAAAAATACCACAGGGAATGCCCCATTTCAGTAAGATACATACTCCTTAAATTACTTAACTTTCTCCCTTTGTTTTCTTTTTACTTTTCAAGCGGAGTTTGCAAGACGGTGCTCTCTACACAGCAAAAAAAAGTAAAAAAAAACACACTTAATCATTTAGTTTGGAGGAAGTTTACAAACTCTGGAGATGTGCTGTTTTAAGAAGACAGGTAAGCTGCTTTTACAGATGCAAATTTCATCCCTGGGAGAAAACACCCTGGACATTTCTACTCCCTCATGGACCAAAAGCAGAGAGAAAAAGATGAACATGAGCTAAACTCGCCAGAGAATGGCTAATTAGTGTCGCTTTCTTACAAAGGAAGTTAAGAGAGCAGAAAAAAAAGTTCAAACTAATCTTACCTAATAGCAGAACTATAATTATAGAGCAAACATTCAATTTCAACTATATGCTAATTGTATTTATAGACTTAAATACCAAGTATGGCCAAAATACCATTATTGTTGCTTGTACGATAACATCTTTTTCTGCGTCTCTTGTTTATCTTTCAAACTATTTCCTTTTTAGTAAATCTATAGAGCAACATCCACACACTTAGTATAATTATCCTAGCTTAGAAATAATGTCTTTCCCCACATTTCGATTATTGCAGAATACATTGACAGAAACAGCAGAGGAGAAATACTGACCTAAATATCGAACCAGTAGCTAATTTAGCCTTGCAAGTTATGCTATATAGAGTGTTTTATTATACAGAAAAGACAAGAAGACTTAAATATGTCAAATCAGGTAAAGAAACTGAAGCAAAGCTGGAGGAAAAGACACATTTTGAGAGCAGTTTAGCACTGAAAATCTATTATCGCGCTTTGAGATCTACTCTGCTGACATTAAGGAAGCGAGCTGGAATTGATCCCAGCAGATTTAAAGAATAGGCCTTTCAGACGGGCAGAGTTCACCTCTTACACGCACACACACACCGTCTTGCACATTTTAGTCAATTAAACCTGCTATCGTGCCAACAATGTGCACCATTCCTGCACCTCACCTCGCCACTGCACACTTTCAAACACGCTAAGACTTTGCTGAAAGACACCCAAAGGCTTTAATACATCCTGAAAACACACTCAGAAAAAAAAAAGACACCCTAAAGACTTGCATACACATGAACACACACCTGGGAACAAACACACACACCAGAACCCCTGGTATGAACCAAATAATGAGCCTATAATCTCAAGGCTTCTCCACCACTGCGCCGCCTTATCATGTGGCTGAGTTTGTTTCCTCTAAAGCTCAGCGCATTGATCGGCGCTGATGCTGATGCCGGCAGCAATGGGAAGATGTGGGGTATCTGTCTGTGTGTTTTTTTTTGTGTGGTGTTTGGGGGCTGGCTTTGCAGGATAACAGCCAACCAAATCAAACAGGCTTACTGGTCAGGGCCTGGCACTAGGGAAAAAAAGAAAAATCAATGTGCCCAGGTATCCATTTACTGGGAGCTGGCCCCTCGGAGTTTAGCTCAACCTGCACTATTGTGTGTTTGTGGGCATATCTGCGTAGGCGGGATAGATAGACAATAAGAGGCTATTTCAATTTTTGAACGTCCACACACACCAATAAAAATGCCTTCCATTTTGTAAGAAAACAAATATAGCTCATATTCAAAGTACTCTGTTATTTTGTCTTCATTGGCTTCCTGTTAAATCAAGAATAGAATTTAAAATCCTCCTTCTCACATATAAAGCCTTAAAGGCACACTATGCAACATTTTTCAGTTAATTAATGTGTTCCATAACGTTTTGGATGATTAAATGAGTCATTTCAGGTTGAACAAAGGTATTCTCGGCCGCCCTGGTGGTCTGTGGGGGAAATACCGCACTTGCAACTGCAGGAGCACCGACCCGCACCCACAGGCTCAGAAGTCTCGTGAGAGTCAGTCTTGCTTTACGGCGAGAACTGCTACACGCCCCCAGTTAAAAGCATGCTCGTTGCTAGCACAGTGGCAATCCTTGTGCAGTTATGCTACGTTCACGCAGCAAAAGCAGCAAAATCGCGTCTGCTGCTTCATTTTTACTGCCTGTACCAGTTAGTTCTGACACGCGGCTGAAGCAGCCTAGGTAGATGGCCGCTCACACTAAGCCTGGTTCTGCTGGAGGTTTCTCCCTGTTAAAAGGGAGTTTTTCCTCTCCACTGTCGCTACAAGCATGCTTAGTGTGAGGGATTGCATTCCAGTCCTCTAATCTTCTTCCTCTTCTATCAATCTTAAACTAATCTAAAACAGACAAAATACAAACAAAATCCTGTAACGACAGATCGGTAACTAAAAAATTTGAGCATAATTCTTATATAATCCCAAAAACTAAGACTGTTTATTTAAATGATTGGATGCAAACTATTGGTATTTCAACATACCAGGAAGCAAATTTCTCATCTCGATCAAAATATTTATTTTATACTAAGAGGCTTAAAAGTTTTATTAAGTCCAGTCACAAATTCCAAGAGCTCATCTAACAACTTCAAAACAAACTGCTTATCTCAGGCATGGATGAAGAGTTGCTGAGTTTGGAGGTAGAGAGCTAACCGATTTTGGATGATCCTAATTATCCCTATTATAAAGATGCACAACGAAAAGAAATGTTTGGACAGAAATGTGATGATGCTGATGGTGAGTTTTAATTATATCATTAAATTAAGCGTTAATTTTGGCATTTTTTGCTCCTATGAATTTATTAATAATATTAAAGTCGCACATGCTCTCCTTGAGCCCTGAGGAAGTCGGATCGGAGCAAGACAGGAGGAACCGAGGGAGGTTTAACCCTAACCCTTATCCAATCGTTCACAGCTGCCAACCAGCAAACTAACAGCTGTTTCTGCACGCAACATGCTTAAGCGCTCTTTCTACCGTAACAACAGGCTATAAGCAACATTTCCTCCTCATTTATAAAACTGTAAAATCAGGGACAGCTTTAGTCGGGGACAGGTGGTCCAAAAGGGGGACTGTCTCCGGAAATCGGGGCTGTCTGGTCAACGTATTCTGAAGGACCAGTTTCTTAACTGTTCTTAAAATATAGGTTTCTTAAAAAAAAAAAAAAAAAACATTATTTCAAAGTAGATGATTTACATAAACATGTTAACCGTTTTCTAAAAATTTAAATGCAATAATTTAGCACAATTTCTACCAACAATCTCCTGTAGATGTACTTGAAATCATCATCTTGTAACCAACATCATATAACTATGATGCGGCAAATGTTAGCTAGTATGCTAAAAAATTTTCTAAGATTAGATATTTTTGCCAAAAATAATTTCCCCAAATGTTTGAGGAGCCAAATCTTTAAAATATATATATTTTGTGTAACATTGGTAGTTTTTTTTTTTTTGTGCTTTACAATGAGGAAAGATAGAACACAACTTTATTAGGTTGACCAGACGTCCCGGATTTTACCGTTTCATGAATGAGGGGGAACATTTTTACATGTTATTATGGTAGAAAGAGCGCGCAGAAACATCTGTTAACGTATAGATGAGGAGCAGAGCGCACCAGTTTTAAAACAGACGATAAAGTTCGTTATCACAGCGGGCTGGATACATCTACATGTAATCCCACATCCTCCATCACCGCCCCGCTTCGCTCCAGACCGCCTGCACAAAGCAAAGCCTTCAGCCTCCGCTGTTCCTCCTCTCTTCCTGCGCTCCGACTTCCTCGGAGCTCGAGGATAACATGCGCTATAATATTATTATATTTATAGGGGAAAAACATGCGGAAATTAACGCGGAATTTAATATATGACATATTAAAAAAATCCCCATCAGCATCCAGCACATGTGCAGCTTCTGCCCAAATATTTTCTTTTTCTTGTGGATTTTTCTAACAGGGATAACTAGGATCATATAATCTTTACATTTACATCCTATCAAAATAACAACAGCTGCTTATTTAAAACAAAAAACACAGCTGCATCTATGTACGCATGAATAGAAAACAGGTTTAGGAAAGTGAAAATATATTCCTGTTAGGTTTTACTATAACTTTTTTAAAGGACACATTTTAATGGTAATTACAAAACCTGTATTTTTGGTGCAGCTGCTTCAAGTTGCTCATGAGAATGATCCAGATTTATAGATGTGTTTTAATTGTTGTAATTTAATCTGAATATAAAACTCTAACATAGCTTTTTTAATAGTCAAACAGATTTTAATACAGGCTGCTGAAGGCTGCACTGCAGCTGTCCAGGATACAGTATAAACAACTGGAGGCCATTTAATTTTAGTTATTATGTAGAAAAAAAAATATTTTCCAATTTGTATATATATATATATAAAAAGTTTCATTTTATTGATGCAAACTGGCCTGTCCCTGAACGCAATGTTTTATTGCTCACAAAGGAAGAAGAGAGAAGACTGAATGAGCTGATGGCACTAATAAAAACTATTAAATGAATAATATTATTTATCTTAGGAAATGGAAGAGGCGCATTCCTGGATAATGCTAAAAAGTATATAAAAATGGATTAAAGCATCACTGTCCCGGTGGTCCATCTGTTCCTATTCTAAATTTTATAAAATGTATTTATTTTTATCTATGAAGTGGAAATGCAGAAATCTGGTCACCTTAATAAACTGCATGCATACTCAGGCTAGCATGTTAGCCCACTCAAGTAATTTCATGTTTGTTTTAACAGTTTTATTTCAGATACAATAGTTACTTTAACTAAATTTAATGCTTCAATGGTTATAATATTTTTTATATATTATATTTGTGGGGTGGCATTAACAGTCATATAAAAATAAACAAAAAAACGTTGCTTCTATGCTAACATGCTAATGTAGCACCTTTTTCCTTCCTTTAGAACATGCAGATGTTTGGAAAACGTAATTTGCAATATTTAAGGACAATTATTTAATAGTTAAAATCTATTTGACAGTTTAAAGCTAAAATAGTAAGATGTTGGAATACTTTAACATCATAATGTACTAATCTTGTTAAAATGATATCGTAACACAATCAAAGCAGTTTAAAGATTTCAAAACAAATTTAATCTTAGAATATATTTGGTCGGATTTACTGTAGTAAGGTCTTTTATTATTTGTTTTGGTCATGGTCATTCTAAAAAGTTAAAAAACAATCCACTGGACTTTGTTTCCAAGTTTGAAGACGTTTCGCTTCCCATCAAGGAAGCTTTTTCAATTCAAAATGTCTGGAATAGCGTTGAGTTCCTGCTATTTCTGACATTTTGAACTGAAAGAGCTTCCTGGATGGGAAGCGAAAAGTCTTCAAACTTGGAAACAAAGTGGATTATTTTTTTTACTTTTTAGAAAGTTATTTTATTTAACATTATGGCAGGTCTCTGAAAGCCATTTTTGTTCATATTTTATTCATTGCTAAACCTTAAAAAATTTAACCTAAAAATGCTTTTTTCCAATATACCACCATGTAAAAAAAAAAGGTTTGAAATTTCAAATGAAAAGGATAAAACACCCTAATTGTAGGTTGTGAGGATATTAACATTAACTAAAATGTAACCCAAAATAACTATAGCATGATTTTTCTTCCCGAGGCAGACTGGAGACCCATCCAGGGTGTACCCCGCCTTTCCCCCATAGACTGCCGGAGATAGGACCGGCCCCACCGCGACCCTGATGGAGTAAGCAGTAGAAGATGGATGGATGACATTTCTTTGATGGAGGTATAATTCCTTCCAATGCAATTTCTTCAACATGTATTTGAGGTATGAATAAAACAGGGTTCAGAGTAATTGAGACAGGTGCTAAAGAACAACATAAATGGAACAGAAAGTGAAAGTTGGCAGCCATATTGCAGTTAAAAAAGAAAAAAAAGTCAATCAAACAGAAACAGGTTTGCACAAATATACGTTTTTGGTAATAATTTTGACAATCTGACCTGTTTAAGTGGCAGCTGGGCCAGCCATGTGTTCTCAAGCATCTCTTTCCGCTTGGAGGGGGGGGCATCACGGACCTTTAGGAACAGTTCGTGAGCACGGAGGCCGCAGTGTTGACAAATGCCTTGCTCTGCCTCCAGCACACGGGAACGCATGTATGTCTGGCTGGACCGCAACTGGAATTCCTCCTGGCATCTGGAGATGAGATAGTATCAAAATATCTGGATTGGAATTTAAGTCAGTAAATAGGTGGAGTTGGATTTTTGTATCTTGAAAAGATAAATACTTTAATTTCTCTTGAATATGGCCTCAATTGTGCAGAAAAAAAATTTCATAATTTGTGTTATTTGTCTGCTATGACTTATTGATCAACCCTATGTCCTTTAAAACTGTACAAACTGTGGTAATGTTGAACCTGTGGCTGCAGAACCGTGTATCCCAAGCTCCACCCGCTGTAGGACAGGCTTGCTGGCAGGATAGACACAGAGGGACACCCTGACTGTCCAGAGCCTGAAGATAGCCGGGCTCTGAAGGCTGCTCTTCCTCCGTCTTTTCGGGTTGCTCGTTCTGTCTGCAGACGGTTCAAAAGGTAAAATAAATTAAAAAAATACATCATTGCTAGTTAAAATATAGAAACATTAACACCAATTAAACAAGGACATGCATCCACTTATTCTCTCACAATATCTATTACCAAAGGCGTTATGGCTAGCCACCCAAGGTGCTTAGGCTTTGCAATTTCAAGAGCTACATTTAAGGAAATACATAACTTATGTCACTGAAATAAGCTTCAGTAAATACATAGTATGGTAACAACTCGAAATAACTAAACTGCATAAAACTGGTTTAAATTTTGAGAGAACATACTCCTAGCTGTGGAGCATCTTAGGTTATATTTGACTAAAGTTTTAACGATTTAATAATTAGTGTATTTTGCAGTAAAAAGGTGCCCAAAGATTAAAAAACCACCAAGAAACCTGCAGGTAACAGGATTTTCCAACCTCTTACTCGTGACCAACTGCTTTTGTCATCAGGTAACGCACTATGCTAAAGGGCGGATTATACTTCTGCAACCGCAGACATCAAATGTCGCATTCGTCTGGTCGCGAACCAGTTTTGCTGGTATGCTTCTGCAACGTCGGTCTGGAAGTTCTAGGGACGCACAGCAGTTTCCCGCAAAAGCTCTATGGGGGAGCCTATTCAAGAACTCGCAAGAACTTCGGCGGATGGTCACGAGGACTTCTTCGGCTGCGCAAGCGGGAGCTGTCACGATCTGTTCTGCGCATGCACCATCAGGTAATTTGCACATGTGCATCCAGATATACATCCATCCTCGATTTTATTTTGTTAAAAATACCTAAATGACGTTTTCCCTCCCCAAACATTGTAAACGTACTAAAATATAATGTGTTAAAGGTTAATAGGAAATGGGATCCTACGCTACTTCCGACTTTGGATTTAAACATAATTCTCGTCTTTTTGAGTTTTATGTTTTAGTTTTGTTTTAACCTTATGCTATATAGTGCGTAATCTAAAGAAAGGAACAACTAAAATGCAGATTAACATGGTTTAATCACATTTTGCCGGACTGCTCTGAGCATGACCCATGATGACGTCAGAGAAGCAGTTTAACGAAAAAAATGTAAAAAGCATAAAAATTGTCTCACAAAATTCCTAAAGCATTTTTCAAAGACGTGTATTAGCATTCTTTAGCAAGTTAAGGATATAAATAACTAGTTTTAGTACGAAAGTACGGATGTACATTTGTTCGCGTATGCGCAGGACGGATCGTGCTTCCAGGACGGATCGGACAGTTAGAAGACTGTTAATTTTCCAAAAGAACAATGGCGCATCTAGAAAATATCACGGTCACGGAGATGGATCTAGAGTATCCATTCATTAGTGTTATTCCTCTGTTTTTAAAACACAGACAGCCGGAAAGGCATACCAAGGACCAATCAGAGCGGCTTTTTGCACTTCGCGCTTGATGTCTGCGCGGGTTTGCGACCGTCCGACATGTAGTCAGGAGTTTTTTGAGGCACAGAGACAGATTTGACGGTTGCAGAGGCTATGCTTCAGAAGTATAAATTGGCCTTAAGCCCTAAAATGTCACAGCAGTAACACTCTTCGGTTTTCCGAAAGGAAGCTAGCTGGTTTAATTAACAATTTATACATAAAGTAGACTTGAGCTTAAAAAGGATTATAAAGAATGGTGGCCATAAAACCTCTGATGTTTGTATGAGAACTTAAACCAAACCTGATGTCAGGTATCTAAATATGAGATACTGTGGGATTAACCAAGCTAGAAGAAGGTAAACTAGCTGTGAACTATTGTCTATATCAGAAAAATACAATATGATGCAGCATGAAATAATTTTATGGTCACAAAAAAGCAAACAGTGTATGCAATCTAATCTTTTCTTTCAGATGCGATGACTGCTGCAAAGATTTATTCCTTTGGTGCACCGCACAAAGTGAAGTTACCTAACATCAGTCTAAATTCCTGCCTTTTCAGCACCAGTAGAGCAGTAAAAACAATTCAATATACATTCTCATCCAATACAAATTAAATCAAACCACTTCGGCAAACAAAGACTCAGAGAGGCATATAGTTTGGGTCTGTGAAATGCCTTCAGACTGTTTCTATTCATAAGGCTGATGTATCATCACAACGATCCTGGTATGTGTGTGCATGCTTGTCCTTTTGGCAGGGGACAGCAAATCTGGGTATCTGCCATGTTTTCCCGGCAGGGTGCTAGAGCCACATTGGAGCAGACAGATGGACTGAATTCTCTTTCCCCGTGGTTTACAATTCAGATAGGCAGAGACAGGAACAAAGAGCCAGAAAGACACAGCACTACAGAGGAAAAATACAATCATTGAAATGGAGAAGAAAACCTTCTAAAAAAAGGAACCTTGCTGCTTCAAAGTTGTGAAGATACCAAACAATGGAGAGGAACCGAGAAACAAACCCTGTCAGTACAGTGAAGTGGATGAAAGAAATGCACTATTTATTGGTGTCCTTAATCTGATACTGGTAAAAAAAAGTAATTCACCCAGAATCAAACAGCTTTAGGTCCGATTACATATTTTTGATACATTCAGCTGGAAGAAGCAAAGCCACCTGAACTATGAGTGATTTAAATCAAATTTGAAGATGTGTCTTATTTTTAGCTCCATTTAAATTCCTGCCTCTGTAGCAAATGTTCCTGCTGGCAGCTCCACGCCGCACAAACTCTCTGTAAACTCATTCTTTAAACCTCAGAAATCACACAACATGCCTTTAGCAAACGGTGCACAGTATGCTAATGTTTACCACCTTGGCTCATCTCTGATGCTTTAAAGCTAAAGAAACCAAAGGGCGATGCAGAGTAGTCCAGTCTTCAATGAGGGGGGTTTGCTCACAGCTGGTACAGTTTTAAGCATTTGAATCTGCTGCATCTGATGCATCTAAAGGGGATTCTGGGTTTAAATCACTGGTGATAGTTAAAAACAAACAAAAAAAAATCAGAAATAATTGGATAATAGTACAGTAAACTAATATTTCACATAAAAAAAGAGTCTCGGGATTTGGCAGGTACTACGATCCTGATGCAAATTCTGCTGGAGGTGATTTAAAACCCATGCATGCAGGAGAACACTGTCAAAAACAGTCGAAAGAACTTTTTTCCCCACAAACAAGTTAGACTCAAACTTATAAGAGGTTGAGATGCACTATGCTGTCTCACTTTGGCAAAAAAAAAACTGTAGTACTTTACCCCAGCGGCACATTTTTAATAGGACTTGCTTTTCTGCAAACCTGACAAACTCGCTGTGCACTTCTCTCTGTCTCATCTGTTTAACCTAATATGTTTTAATTCTTTAACAGTAGGTCGCCAAAGTTTTTTGTCACTATACAGTTTATATGGTTTATTCCTTTACAGCCGAATCGAAGCTTGTTCTAAGGAAACCCCAATTAAAGAGGTAGTGATCTTAGATAAACTTAAAATAAAATTGACTATTTGGCTTTTTAGGGCTGGATTGATGAAAAGAAGGCTATGAGATTTTTTTATTTTGCTTTTAAGAAAGACAAATTAAGCGCTTTGGAAATATTCACTGCAGTCTAAAGTGCAGTGTTGTGTCTGACAGCCATGTGAGATTTAGTCTTAGTTTTCCTCTTACTATATGTGATAGTATTAGTCCAGTTTTAGTCGACTAAAACTCAAAAAGGATTTAGACTAGTATTAGTCAGTCTTAGGTTGAGATTCATAAAACTGTTAACTTTTACAATTTCAAATAACAACCAGATTCTTTACCAGACGCAGCTCTTGCTTAGATACTACAATTGTTGGAGATACAATGCTGCAGTGCAGTTCATCATTGCTGTTGGGCAGAAAACTATTTTATAGAATTAAAATAAACTTTTTTTTATGATTTAATGTCCAACTTTATATAAAAAAGTAGGGATGCACGATATAATCGGCCCTCTATCGGTATCGGCCTGTATCGGCCTTAAAACTGAATCAGCTTCTAAGTTTCTAAAGTCTAAAAAAAATATAAATACTACTTCTTCTTCTTCCTCAAAAGTTTGTTTTTTTACAGACTTAAAAACTTCTAAAGACGAGGGAAAAAATATTGATACATTAAAATCTTCATATGCTGATATATTGCCATTTAAAAGCACCATATCAATCTCTTTTACTAATGAAATATTGCTATATGTCATCGTTATGCTACGAAATCCCCCGAAAATTCACGAAATTTTGCCATATTTTTATATGTTGATATATTGACGCGGTATCAATCTATTTTACTAACAAAATCTCACAAGAATTTGCAAAATATCACGAGTTTGTAACAGAAAGATGAAATTTCACGAGATTTTGAAAGTAAAATAGATCGATACCGCGTTTTTAAAAATCTATTTGATATCAGCATATGAAAATATATTTGAGTATATTATTTTTCAAAGTGTCAGAAATGGATAACAAAACTGCTATTTTAAATGACTACTTATTTTTGTCCAGCTTTAACATCGGTATCGATATCGGTTATCGGCTACATGAGTTTTAAAATATCGGCATATCGGATATCGGCCAAAATCCCAATATCATGCATCCCTATAAAAAAGTCTTATAAAAGTTGTGAAAAAAAGCAGATCTAGTTCAACACATCATATTGGTTAATAAAGCAGACAGAGTAACTAACAAAATGTACAATAAAGGAATGGTTTTAAAGAAAAACTTCCTGATCTACTATGGATTATGCATTACACACAGATCAATAAAATCTTCATTGATCCAAAAAAGAAAAAAACAGGAAAAAGAAAAAAAAAACCCAAAACATTCTTCTTTCTACTTTGGAAAATTTTGCTTCATTTTTAACAATTTGCCCTTTGGTTACTGCTGCTCAGGGGTCAAAGTAAATCTAAATTTATAGGGGTCTGATATAGAAAACTTACACAGAGAAACCAACATAATTGCCTTAAAAATGAATCAAGAAAATTTTAACTAAAATGTTAAAATATGCAAATAGATAGAAACAAAAACTATGAGAGAGATATATATTCAAAGATCTAAGTATGTTTTCATCTGGATCCAAAGCAAATATTTTATTGCTTTGGATATACTTCAGGGATTTCTTTTAGAAGAAATTAAAGAAGGTTTAGCATTGCCTCTTGTGAGCTGGATAAAATAAAATCTTGAGATTTAGGCTAAATGATTTTTTAAGCCTGGCAGAGGATGATCAGCCACGTAGTTTATTAAGTAGCGAGGGCAGGAAGGGCATACTGCTGAGAGCGAACCATCAGTGTGGAGCGTGAAGCGCAGCACGCACAAAGATGCATTTCTGCACAAGCACAGCTGGAGGAGCAGAGTTTGTCAGAGTTCAGCGTGCAGTACTGGACCATTCTGTGCCATTTTCTCCCCTGCTGCTGCCATGGTCCATCTGTGGTCATGCAGAATGTGCACCGCTGTACGCCATGTGGGCGTGACCAAACAGGACGCAGCAGCACAGCTAATACTGCTTAGTATGTCTAACAGATTACAGCACGATAATGCATTTTAAATGACTGACAGACCACCTGTAACATCTTTATTCAGTCTCATCCTGTAAACGAAAAGTCACAGCCATGAGTCTTCATGTTTTCTTCATCAAAGATCCATGTTTAGGCTTATCAGTTCCCATTATCGTCATGAAAAACTGTTGTCATCATTAATGAAAAAAGTACTGCTGCTTGGTTTATGTTCTGTTTTGATTGCTACCAAAAATAATGTTTTCACGCTGCATATTAGCAGGTTAAATTTGATTAGAAATAACAAGCAGAGATGTTGAACCAACTAAAGATCAGCGATCAACATGATCCTATCCCTCAATATTAAATAGGTTCATATGCTAATTAATACGGTCCACAGTTGCTTCCTGTATAAGAGATAAAGTTGGAGCATTTCTTGTTTAATGGTCAAAATTAATACTTTTTATTTTATTCTAAACGTTGGCATGTTTTGTTGCATTTAAACAAAAGAAGGAGATTTTAATTCAACTACAAAAAACCAAACTATATGAAGTGCTCCTGTCCCTTTAAATATAAAAGGTCTTTAGGCAAAGTAATATAGTCTGTAGCAGTTAATGAAAGCGGACTTCCTGTTATTTCCCATTATTATCGAGGCACCCTGAGTGAGATGGAAGTGTGTCATATAGGCTTAACCTCTCGGGTGCATTTAAAGTTGGATTTAGTTCTGCTGTTTAACTTTGAGGTGATTATTGATCCCAACCCCCCGCACTGTTCCTTAATTTAAACATTCCAACCTCAGAAAAGTTCGGAAATTAGCACTTTGCTTGACCGCATCTGGAGTATATTAGAATTAATGGAACTTGATAATATTAGTTAACCCTGTAAAACTAATTTTAAAAGCAAATATGTAATATTTGCATTAAATCAACTAAGACATAACTTGGTTAGTAAATTCAACCTGTCATTATTTAGAATGTGCAGAACAATGACTTACTGCATGAAGAAAATTGTTAAAAATGTAAAGTTTTCAAAGAGTTTTTAATACTTTAAAACTTTAATTAAACCTTGCATCTAGAGCTGTATTGCTATCTTATTATCACTTTACTTGGATTTATCACTTTTATCACTTTACTTGGATTTATTACTTTAATTGGATATTCACTTTATTTGGATTTAGATTTTACATATGCATAGATATACATACATATACACTCACCGGCCACTTTATTAGGTACCCCATGCTAGTAACGGGTTGGACCCCCTTTTGCCTTCAGAAATGCCTCAATTCTTGGTGGCATAGATTTAACAAGGTGCTGGAAGCATTCCTCAGGGAGTTTGGTCCATATTGACATGATGGCATCACCCAGTTGCCGCAGATTTGTCGGCTGCACATCCATGATGCGAATCTCCCGTTCCACCACATCCCAAAGATGCTCTATTGGATTGAGATCTGGTGACTGTGGAGGCCATTTGAGTACAGTGAACTCATTGTCATGTTCAAGAAACCAGTCTGAGATGATTCCAGCTTTATGACATGGTGCATTATCCTGCTGAAAGTAGCCATCAGAAGTTGGGTACATTGTGGTCATAAAGGGATGGACATGGTCAGCAACAATACTCAGGTAGGCTGTGGCGTTGCAACAATGCTCAATTGGTAGCAAGGGGCCCAAAGAGTGCCAAGAAAATATTCCCCACACCATGACACCACCACCACCAGCCTGAACCGTTGATACAAGGCAGGATGGATCCATGCTTTCATGTTGTAGACACCAAAATCTGACCCTACCATCCAAATGACACAGCAGAAATCGAGACTCATCAGACCAGGCAACGTTTTTCCAATCTTCTATTGTCCAATTTCGATGAGCTTGTGCAAATTGTAACCTCAGTTTCCTGGTCTTAGCTGAAAGAAGTGGCACCCGGTGTGGTCTTCTGCTGCTGTAGCCCATCTGCCTCAAAGTTCGACGTACTGTGCGTTCAGAGATGCTCTTCTGCCCACCTTGGTTGTAACGGGTGGTTATTTGAGTCACTGTTGCCCTTCTATCAGCTCGAACCAGTCTGGCCATTCTCCTCTGACCTCTGGCATCAACAAGGCATTTCCGCCCACAGAACTGCCGCTCACTGGATGTTTTTTCTTTTTCGGACCATTCTCTGTAAACCCTAGAGATGGTTGTGCGTGAAAATCCCAGTAGATCAGTAGTTTCTGAAATACTCAGACCAGCCCTTCTGGCACCAACAATCATGCCACGTTCAAAGTCACTCAAATCACCTTTCTTCCCCATACTGATGCTCGGTTTGAACTGCAGGAGATTGTCTTGACCATGTCTACATGCCTAAATGCACTGAGTTGCCGCCATGTGATTGGCTGCTTAGAATTTAAGTGTTAACGAGCAGTTGGACATGTGTACCTAACAAAGTGGCCGGTGAGTGTATATATATATATATATACAGAAGAGCCATATGTGTATATATTTTATCTCTTTTTATTTTCATTTTTTATCTTTATTATATTGTGTAGTTGGATGTGTGTATATATATATATAAAACTGTAACTGGAGCTTGTAACAAAAGTAATTTCCCCTGATTCGGATTATTGCCTGTTTGCTGACCTTCAGCCACAGCTTGAGATGGGGAAATATGCAGACTGAATCAGACAGCTGCTCCCTCACTTTGGTGTAAAAATAAATTTTAACTAATAGACATTATAATTATAGCAGGACCGTGTTGTAAAGTTTGGAATCAGAATAACTTCAATGCAGAGTTGCATGGAACTATTTTTAATAATGCATATCCTTGTACAGTTTCATATGTGGAAGAACAAAAATACTTTTTGGATATTTGTATTGATAAGGCAGAATATTTGAAGGTGGAATATGGTGCAAATCTACCAAAATATTCCTAAAAATCAGCCATCCTTATGGTTTAACGCCGTTGCTTAATGATCTACTATTGCTTTGTTGCTCCAGAACCAGGATAAACCATTAATTATGCTGAAGGAGAGTGCCAGAAAATCCACGTCTGAATGGCTAAAAAGAGGTTGTTTTTTAGTGGCCTAGTTAAAGTCCAAACTTAAATCCCATCCCAGATGTTAAGGCATGACCGTAAACATGCATCCTGTGCATAGCACCCCTTCATTGCTATAAATAAATGAATCAACATCACCTATTACAGACTCTGGTGCTTATTGCTTTTCCCTATCAGACCAGGGGATGCTTTGGATGCCTTTCTTTGCTTTATTTAAAAACTGCTTTTTGTATTTACTCAGATTATCTTTGCCAGATATTAAAATTTCTTTGCTTATCTGAAGCAAATATGTTTTTTTTCCAGCTCTGCACGTGAAGCAAAAGCGTTAGGTTTCCATCCAAACATTTTAGCTAAAGCTAGAAAACAAAAAACCCCAGCACAGAGCAATCTGAGATGTTCTCATTCCAGTACTGTTATTTCTTTAAGTGACACAACGATGCCGGCTTTAGCGTTGCATTTTCACTCACTTTAGCTTTGTCGACTAGGTTAAAGCTGTAGGCTGAGCTGAAGCACTAATCCCAAATAGCCCCCCTCAGGCACAGCGCGAACTCACTGGATGTAACAACAGCCGCTGTGAGTGTTGTGTGTTTGTGTGAGAGAGTGAGTGTTTGCTTTACGTTTCCATAGAAATATTGGCTCCTGGGGAGAGTTGGTTGCTGCATCTAAATGGGTGGATTTTATTATGGTCTATATTTACTGTACTAACACACTCGGCGGGCCTTTGCGCCTCTGCCACAAGGCACATACGGATCTCCATGGTAACGGCTGAGGGGGAGAAAATGAAAAGAGCTTGAATCCCAAAGTGGGAAGCATGTAAGATCGAGACAAACTACCTTTGTGTACAGATCTTAACCCCCCCCCTCCATAAGGACTGAATATCTGAGTCAATCAACTACAGAATGTAAGGATAACAAATGACGACCAAATAAAAACCTTTGAGAATGAAAGATGCAATTTAAGACTTATGATTAATCCCACGCCGAACATCCACCCACATTTTCCCTTCGAACCAACCTCTCTGCGGCAGGCGGCGTCAGTGAAGAACCAGACCTCCTCTTTGTGAAGAAGTTTTCCTTGGTGACCACCCGGACGCTGCCTCCTCCCTCCTGGGCCTTGCTCAGGGAAGCCTCTGCAACCTCGTCTCTGCTCAGGTACCTGAAAACAGACAATTTGCAGATGTTACATAACCGGGAAGCTTGACAATTACAGTACGGTGGGGGTGTGGTTGCATGGGGTTGAAACCCTGAGCCGTCTGTGGACAGCTCTGGCATCGGTTACCTTAGTCATCATCTATGTTCTGCAGTCATTCTCAAATTTTACTGTAAAAATGCAACAACCGTGATTCAAAGAAAACATTAACTTAGTGGCATCAAACTGGGCTTAAATGCTCTGATTTCTTCCTTGTATTCTATTCCAGCTCCGCACATAGATTCTGTTTGTCTTCTTCCCTTGTGAATCCCATTACTATTGCTGCTGCTGGAATCTAATTTCCCCGCAGGGATCGTCAATCATCTAATCTAATCCCTCTCTCCCTCCACAGGTTCTCATGGCCCTTGTAATACAGATTTTTATTTTATTTTTATTTAACCTTTATTTAACCAGGAAAGTCCCATTGAGTTAAAGTAACTCTTCTTCCAGGGAGTCCTGGCCAAGAAGGCGGCTTAAAAAGTTACATTAACATAAAACCACAGGAGACAAGACAACCACAGCTACATATCATCTAGGCAAAATTAAAAACAACACAACAAGATTGGGCATACACATACAACCAAAAAGCAAACAGCAAATAAGGCATCCAATCAAAAACAGTTGCATCTGTCAGTTAATGATGATTTTAACAGGTCTTTAAAAGAATTTATGGATGGAAGTACTTCAAGATTTAAAGTGGCTTGAAGTTCATTCCATACTTTAGGTGCAAATGATGAAAATGCTGTTTTTCCTAGTTCAGTTCTTGTAAATGGAGTATGTAAAAGTATTTTTTCTGATGACCTAGTTCTGTAAGTACTATCTTGAATGGAAAGTAAATTAAAAATGTATAAAGGTAGTTTACCCATAAGGGCTTTAGCAATAAAAGTCAGTACATGAATTTTTCTCCTCATGTAAAGAGAAGACCACTGTACAGTTTCATAGAGAGTGCAGTGGTGAGTCCTAGCTGATGCACCTGTGATAAAACGTAAGGCAGAGTGGTACAGTACATCCAGTTTTTTAAGTAAGAATAAACTGGAGTGAATATACAGTGTATCCCCATAGTCAAGCACTGACAGGAATGTGCTCTGAACTAGCCTTTTCCTCGCAAGATAGGGAAAGCACTTCCTCATTCTAAAGAAAAAACCCAACTTTGGTCTAAGTTTCTTACAGAGGCTCTCAATATGGACACCAAAGGACATCTTATCATCCAACCAGATGCCTAAATACTTGTAAGATGATACTCCTTCTATTTTAGTGCCATCTTGTGTTGAAACACTAATGTTAGGTGAGGATCGTGAATGTGTGAATGTCATTGTTTTAGTTTTTTTAGCATTCAGTACCAACTTTAATTCAATAAGAAATGTTTGTAAATGATTAAAAACAGACTGCAATTGTGCAAATGCAGCATTCACTGATGAAACTGTGGTGTACAAAATAGTGTCATCTGCATAAAGATGCACTTTTGCTGTCATCAGGTCCTTACCCAAGTCATTTATATAAAGAGAAAATAAAATTGGACCCAAAACTGACCCTTGTGGGACCCCCATTGTAACTTCTAATGATGTTGAGGTATAGTTATCAATTACAATACACTGCGTTCTATCATTAAGGTAATTTGAAAACCACCGTAGTACAGTATCACTAAAGCCTATTCTTTGTAATCGCTTCAAAAGAAGATCATGGTCCACTGTATCAAACGCTTTAGAAAGATCAATGAATATTGCAGCACAAGACTTCTTATTATCTAAAGCATTCAAAATGTCATTTGTGACTGTGGTAACAGCTGTGACTGTACTATGACCTTGTCGAAAGCCAGACTGCAATGGGTTTAAAATTGAGTTCTCAGTTAAAAAAAGTTTGAGTTGCTCGTTTATAAGAGATTCAAACAGTTTGGCCAGCACAGACAATCTAGAGATTGGGCGATAATTGTCCAATAAGGAAGGGTCTCCACTTTTCAAAAGTGGGAGGACAAAAGCAGACTTCCAAGATGTAGGTATGGTACCACTACATAAACTAAGATTAAAAATTGAGGCAATAGGCTCAGCAATCAAGTTAGCAGCAGTTCTAAGAAAATACGGTTCAATCTGGTCAGGCCCAGCAGACTTTTTACAGTCTAGTCCTTGCAAAGCCTTCTGAACTTCATAAGCAGAAATACAGCTGAAATTAAAACTATTTTGACTCATATTTGGATCTGGAACAGTAATTGTAGGCCTACCTCTGCTAACATTTGCTGGAAGAGTTGACTGAGTAGCAATTCCAGCATTGATGAAGTGCATGTTAAAAGTGTCTACCATATGTTGTTTATCCTTAATTTCTCCCTGACTAGTTACAATATATTCAGGGATAGTGGGAGGTGGCACATCGCCTGATGATGATTTTATTGCTTTCCAAAATTTCTTAGGGTCATTGAGATTTTCTTTTATTAAATTAAGGTAATGCTCATTTTTTGTACTTTTTATTAGTCTTGTGCATTTATTTCTTAATACCCTGTAGTTCAACCAGCTTGCATCACTATTATATTTTTTTTGCTTTTACCCATGCCTCATTACGTTCTCTTATTGCAGTAGCAATACAATCATTAAACCAGGGGTTATCCCTGCCCCTCACTCTAAATCTTCTAAAAGGGGCGTGTTTATCAATGATGGCTAAAAAAGTTTTCTTAAAATAATCCCAGGCCCTTTCAACATCATCCATAAAACAAACTGCATTTAAGTCACTGTGGAAAATATCATGAAGAAATGCCTGCTCATTAAAACGCTTAAGATGTCGTTTAAAAACAAACCGTGACTTGGTCTTAACCATTTTACAGTCCCTGACGCACGCAACCATGCAGTGATCACTGACGTCATTACAAAAAACACCAGCCGCAGAAAATTTGTGTGGAGCATTGGTCAGGATAACGTCAAGCAGCCTAGATTTGTCCATACATTTAATATTAAGGCGTGTAGGTGTAGATGCCAGGCATGAAAGCTGGAATTGCCCACAACTTTACACGGCAATCTGGCAGAATTAAAATGACCCCAGGATGTCAAGAGTCAAGACAAAATACCGCAGCAGGAAAGGGGGAAAAAAAAGGCGACTGAGATGGTTCCTCCAGATGAGAGAAAATTGTAGTGGTCTTGAGAGAAAAGTGACCAATCAGAAATATCCAGAACAAACATTAGGAGTCTCCACAGAGAGATGACACAACCCTCAAATGGTCTCCACAGAGCAATTATCTGCCCTCTCTTCTATAAGCTCTGCAGAAACTCAGTGCTGCTATTTTTGCTTCTTCTCCAGGCAAGTACAAAACACAGTGACAAAATACCCTTTTGTTTCCCCACCTACGTATGAGAACGTTGTGTCAAAGCATTTGTCTGGCCACAAGTTGCTACTACTTCTCTCTGGGCGTAATAAAAATGTATTTAACAGCTTTACTACGCTGTCAACCTTACCAGGGTATTACTTTTTCGAGCGGTTGGTGTGTCGATAACATTTAAACCCACAAAACCTACTCAACATCGGTTATTTGTTTTAATTTGAATATTTTTTTCTTTTCAAAAAAGCTTTATTGATTAAAAATGGAAATTAAATGTAGTAACTCATGTTTTTCTATTTTAAACAAATAGTAGATGTTGATAGGTTATCCTGAGCTATCTCCATTTTTATGCTGCTATAGGCTTAGACTGCTGGAGGACATAGGGACCCCTATTTCATCATTTTGCTTCATTCTAGCTCTATTATCCCACTCTGCAGAATCTGTTAGTTTAATCTCTAATTTTTTGCTCTCTCTGCTTTTTCTCATAGTAGCTTTGCTTTGTCTGTTCCTGTTTGGCTGTGACGCCATCCTGGAGAGAAATATCAGCTGTGCTGCTTCCATCAACACCTTTGTTTATAGATGTTGGAGGTCTGCCTGTTTTTCCAGTGTAGTCCTGTTTCTCTGACTGTGACTGGCTGGATTTGCTCTCTTCAGCCTCTGACATGGGATTCGGTTTGGAGCTCGTCTGCCTGGCTGTGTGTTTCCTGGACAGGGCCGCCTTCTAGAGCTGCTTTTTGTATCTCTGCTTCTGTCTCCTTTAACCCCAGTCGGCCTCGGCAGATGGCCGCTCACACTGAGCCTGGTTCTGCTTGGAGGTTTCTTCCTGTTAAAAGGGAGTTTTTCCTCTCCACTGTCGCTACAAGCATGCTTAGTGTGAGGGATTGCTGAAGAGTCAATGAGACGATGCAATCAACTGGTTTTCCTTAAATAGAAAACTTTAAATCAATCTGACTGTATGATCTGGTGAACTGTAAAGTGCCTTGAGATGACGTGTGTTGTGAATTGGCGCTATAGAAATAAACTGAATTGAATTGATAGCTGTAGGCATGAATGATCTTCTATTGCCAGAAGGATCCTCTATAGTATAGGTCTGCTATGCAGAGGACCAGGTGAAGCCTTTGACTGAAGAAACTGATGTTTTTTTAAACAGTTTTTTAAACAGTCTTCTGAAGAGGAACTGTTCAAACGTTCTTCATTTTGTTCTAAAATCATCTGCACTCGACTTCTAGACGGACCAGCGAAAGGAAGGGAAGCCAAAGGAAGCCAAGCCATCGTCTGATTTGGTTTGAATGAGGCCATGAGGCCTGAATATATAGACCAGTGTCTTTTGCACAGGAGTCTGACTTCTCAGATTGGGTAGAGTCTGTTTCCAATAAAGATGTTTTGTTGCACTTAACTGTATAGACGTGCGAAAAGAATTTGTTCTAAACTCCTAAAGTTTACAGTTTTCCTACAGTTGTATTCAATAAAAAAAATTTGTTATCTGAAATAAAAAGATAATTTAAACAAAAAAAAACAACCAAATAAATAAAAAACATAAAGCAATGCCATGAGTAGTGCCAGGGCGAAGGTGTTTTCGCAAAGATGACAAAAGAATATTGATCGCATCCATATAACTAATAGACAAGACAACTTCCTAGTGTCTAAATCCATAAAGAAATTAAACAGG